ATCCTGTAGCTGATATTCCAGTGGTGCTGGACTTTACCAATAAATATCTGGTTGTCCTTATTTCTTCAGATGATGGCCCAGTTGTCCATGAACTTAAAACAGATTGTCCTGTTGTTCCTGATCGTCCATGGAATGGTCCTGTGGTCCCTGATCCTCCAGCTGCTTGTTCTGTTGTCCCTGCTTCTTTGGCCGACAGTCCAGTTGTCTGTGATCCTCCTGTGGATGGACTGGTAGTGCCTGAACTTACAATGGAGGTTGCAGTGGTTTCTGATCTTCCAGCCAATGACTCAGTTGTCCTCGATCCTACAGATGACTGTCCAGTTGTTGCAAACCCAGGTGATGGACCAGAGGACTCTGTCAATCCTCCTGATGAGACAGATGTTCCTGGTCCTACAACAGATGGTCCAGTTGTCCCTGACCCACCAGAAAATAGGGCAGGTGTGCCTGATTTTTGAGTTGACAATCTAGTTGTTCTGAATACTTCAGATGATGGCTCAGGGGACTCAGATACTTCAAATGACTGTCCAGCTGTGGCTGATCCTGTAGCTGATATTCCAGTGGTGCTGGACTTTACCAATGAAGGTCTAGTTGTCCTTATTTCTTCAGATGATGGCTCAGTTGTCCATGAATTTAAAACGGATTGTCCTGTTGTTCCTGAATGTCCATGAAATGGTCCTGTGGTCCCTGATATTCCACCTGCTAGTTCTGTTGTCCCTGCTTCTTTGGCTGACAGTCTGGTTGTCTGTGATCCTCCTGTGGATGGACTGGTAGTGCCTAAACTTACAATGGAGGTTGCAGTGGTTTCTGATCTTCCAGCCAATGACTCAGTTGTCCTCAATCCTACAGATGATTGTCCAGTTGTTGCAAAACCAGGTGATGGACCAGAGGTCCCTGTCAATCCTGCTGATGGTAAGGATGTTCCCGGTCCTACAACAGATGGTCCAGAAGTTCCTGAACCTGCAGAAAATCGGCCAGTTGCACTTGATATACCAGTCGATGATCTAGTTGTTCTGAATACTTCAGATGATGGCTCAGTAGACTCAGATACTCCAGATGACAGTGCAGTTGTGGCTGATCTTGAAGCCAATACTCCAGTTATGCCTGACTTTACCAATGAAGGTCTCGTTGTCCTTATATCTTTAGAATTTGGTAAGGTCGTCCCTGAAACTAAAACAGGTTGTCTTGTTGCTCCAGTTCGTCCATGGAATGGTCCTGTGGTTCCTGCTACCTCAGCTGCTTGTTCTGTTGTCCCTGCTTCTTTGGCTGAAAGTCCAGCTGTCTGTGATCCTCCTGTGGATGGACTGGTACTGCCTGAACTTCCTATGAAGGTTGCACTGGTTTCTGGTCTTCCAGACAATGACTCAGTTGTCCTCGATCCTACAGATGACTGTCCAGTTGTTGCAAACCCAGGTGATGGACCAGAGGACTCTGTCAATCCTGCTGATGGCACAGATGTTCCTGGTCCTATAACAGATGGTCCAGTTGTCCCTGAACCTCCAGAAAATAGTCCAGTTGAAGTTGATATAGGAGTTGATGATCTAGTTGTTCTGAATACTTCAGATGATGGCTCAGTGGACTCAAATACTCCAGATGACTGTCCATTTGTGGCTGATCCTGTAGCTGATATTCCAGTGGTGCTGGACTTTACCAAT